CCTCTCTACTCCCTGCCCCCACTCCACTAGTTTTCCATACAACCCACAGCATGCCCAGCAAGATAGCCAGATAGGGTTACACAGCTACTAAATAAAAGCAAAAATTCTCATGTTGTGAAAAAAAAAAATCCGAATTTTGGTTACCACTCTTTAATATAAATGCTTCCAGCTTCCATCCAAATGCTTTCACCAACAGAGCACAATTTTAAGAAATAATCATTTGATTTCCCATTCTTCTTTACAAATTCCATCTTTTTCCATCTGGAAAACTCCTACTCACCCCCTTCAAGTCCTCGCCCCCACGTAACTGCTCTGAGACACCTCGCCTCCCTAGCCTACAGAGGGCAGCTCTCCTCCTTTGTAAGCTCAAAATATTTTATGCATGCCTCTCCTTGGTACCTATCACACTGCTAGAATAATAGGTTTACACCTCAGTCCCTTCAATGGAAACCATACCTTATTTAACTTTGAATTCCCTGGAAAAGATTTAGAATGACACCCAATGAGCTTGCCAAACATTTGGAGGCTAAAAGAATGATGTTGATTTCTTCCTTTAAAAGGAATGTCAGATTCAGCAATAAGGGCTTTTTGCCATATCAACTTCTAAGACATTGCCTAGAATAATATTTGGTCTCCTTCTGCTAAATTGAAATAGAATCTGTTTTAATTCCACATTACTCAGGGGGGGCCAGGAGAGTGGGTAGGGTATAGATGAAGCACGGCTGGCAATGAGTTGATAACTGTTGAGGCTGGGTGATGGGTACTTAAGGATTCATTACATGATTCTTTTACAAATGTTTGAAAATTTCCAAATTAAAAAGTAAAGGAGAGAAGAAAAAGAAAGAGGAAGGGAGGGAGGCAGGCAGGGAGGGAGGGAAGGGAAGGGAGAGAAAGAGGGCACAAAAGAAAAGAAGACCCCACTACACCTTGGCTTACATATGGAGAGGTGGTCATGTGATAATGACCCTGTGTAGTCTTACCTGGGGCTGGACTCATGAGGAAACTGTACACTGTTAGCAAACACTTCAATGATTTGAACTATATTTGGGTGTGTGGCACACATCATGTGCAGACGTACCTTAAAGAAGAACAGAGGAAATGTTTCTGTACATAGGGGATGCCAACATTTTCTCTCCAAACTTTCCCCCCAAAACTGACCACACTAGGCCTATGGATGAGCCTACTACAGTAAAAAACCTTATCACCTGGAATGATGTAAAAAAAAAAGTGTTTTCATACACAGATTACCTCCTTAATGCTCTTTCCATGAAAAAAACCTCACCAACAGGTTTATTTACTTCTACTGTCCTATCTATTAGCAAATGAAAAATTTGGTAAATAATACATCTTATTTCAGAAATTATTCATATATCTCTAAGCAAAAGAATAAGTCCTTCATTGCATATTATTAACATGTCATCACCACATCCAAATAATTTTAAACAAATGACTATTATTAAAAACTAGAAATACATCCTCAGAGTTCTCCTGCAACACCTTTTCAATACACTATTCACTAGAACCTTCCTCATACTATTTTATCTCCACTCTTTAAAGACCTTTTCCAATAAGCAAAAGCTGAAGTAAACCTGAGTATTTTGGGGTATAAGAATCGCATTAATTGAAAAAGAACAAAAGGTGGTTTGAAAGGAAGCAAGACTTCACTAACAGCTTTTGGTATTGATGGATGAAGAACTGCTTTATAATGATAACATGGAATAGCAAAAAGTATGAATATAAAGAGAGTAAGTATGAACATAAAATTCTTTGTGAATCTCTGTATTCTCTCCATGAAGCTGCCTTCCTTGTAAAAAGAATAATTCTTAGCACTTCAAATATTTAGGCAAATCAAGGCAATAAAGGACCATACCTCATTTCTAGCTTTTGGACGATCAAAAAGAATTTTCAGTGCAAACCGTTCTTGGGTAGATTTCTTCACACAGACTCTAGATTTGGAGAAAAAAGTTCAATCAGAAATTATCTAAGTTACAGTGAAAACTAATTTAGCAAGCTGTTCTTTGAGAACTGTGCTTCTAATCAAAAATATATCCAGGCACATCAGAACAAACTTGCCCCCATGTCTAGCAGATGGAAAGGCAGAAAGGCATCTCGCCCACCCTTCACAGGCCTTAGACATGTGAAATCAACTTGATGCTGGCCAAGAAAGACAAAATGGCCTCTGCTGGCTACAAGTGACTCATACAGTGGCTCCATGGTATCAACATCTTAAATGATTCTGTTACAGATCATGTGACTTCATCACTTAAATATATTTCTAAATGGATGAGAAAAAGCCTATCATAAATACCTCTGCTTGTTAAATTAAGGCTGTTTCACAAATCTGGCAAACCTAATGCTTCTAACTTAAGATGTATTTCAAACAGGTCCTCTTGAGAACAATTGTGTCATAGTTTGCACATGGGTCTCTTACCTAACTGGACCACTAATTCCAGCTCCCAGCTTCTGAGTCCAATTGATACTGTATTCCTCTAAAATGGAGGTTTCCTATTAAAATAAAAATGGAGGAGGCAGAGAATGATTCTCCAGTTAAAAAGCTGAATAGTTAAGTAGAGGTGGGACAACAGAAAACCTTAATGCTCAACATCTCAGCTTCTGAAAGAAGCTGATAAGTAGAGCTTTGTGTAGGGCTTTATAATTACACATTTCGCCTACAGGACTATGCTAGGCATTGCTTTCCAACAAGAGAAGGCAAACTTTAGGATAAAAAGAAATTCTTCAGCTCATCTGCAAGGTCCATGTGAGTAAATACTCGTGTTTTTTTTTTTTCTTGAGTGTGGGAAGAAGATATTCTTTCAAAATGTTTCACTACTAAGTACTTATTTGCCAAATGGTCAAGTATATTTTCTGAGATTCTAGAAAGATTGGTCTGATATATGCTGCTATGATATAGAGGTCTATATCCTTGAACAAGATCAAATTGGAATAACTGAATAAATTAAAACTTAAAAGTTCAAATAAAATAGTAATAAATATTGTAGTACATTTATCTAGTTTTCAAGTGCTATTTTGAGTACAAAGATATTGTCATGTTCACTGTATAACTATATTCGTCACAGTTTTAATAGATTCCAATAGCTTTCAATAGTTCCAGATAGAGCCTCTACAGTTTAATTAAAGTTTTTATGGAATTACTGTGTAGTCACCAAATATTGAGCTTCTGTTGCCATTATGTTTTTAGGCAAGAAAGCCATACACTTAAACTGTGGTAGGCTAAAATTCATTTTTCAGGGTTCCACGGGTAGAACAGAAAACCGACTACAGACCTGGAGAAATTAGGCCAAAACTCATGAGACTATCAAATTGTTTTGTTGCAATGAAAATCTGATAGATTATAATTAGCAACAGAATCTTGATTCCCAGGTATAGGAACAGAATATTTGTCCATGTAACACAAACTCAATGAGCAGTTAGTAAGTGCCAGACACCAGGGTAAGTTCAGAGATAAAAACAGAGCTTCTGTCCAAGGAATATGTAAGTGTATAAAACAAGTTTAGAATAGCCTTCATCTCCACAACTTCCTGCTGCCAGTTCTTGATAAAGGTTCCCATCATATAGTAAATGCTCAATAACTAGGGAATGAATGACTAGAAAGGTGGACTAAAACCAGGTGATGGAAGGACATTGATTTGCGAGGGACTAGCAAAATCATTACACCAACTCTCTTCTGAAAAACTGTATATCAGGGTTAAGGAGCTTGTCAAAGTCACACAGTGAGTTATAGGCACTGATAAGACTAGAAACTATGGCTTTGGCCTCTTCCCCAGCATCATTCATCTTTGGCATCATCCCCAGCTATCAGGGGTAACTGCCCAGGCCCCTGCATGAGGATTAGGAATGAATCCTGCCCAATTAGGGAGGTCCCAGGTCTCCACTCACCATCTCCTAAACAGAATTCAAACCTACCCATTTAACCTGTCTACCTCCTTCATGTTTCCACTGCCTATCCTGCCGGATTCAGAAGTATTTGAGAAGAGAGAGAGGAAGACAGAATTGGGAGAGAAAGAACTGGAGCATAGTCTATGCTTCATGGTAGAGTAAAATTTGCCAGGCCTCTAATGAAGACATACACTCACTGGAGACTCAAGGGAAAAGACAGATTCATTCTACGGAATTATTTGTTACAGTCAGATCAAAGGACTATTCATATGTCCAGTTCCTGGGATGTAAAAATAATATTAGACCAAATTCTTCACTGCACTGGTGCTTATTAAGATGGTACTCTACCTAATGGACAGCCAAGAAAGTTCAAATTATAGAGGCTCTGACTGAAGTTTTGACACTTGGCTTTGCAGAAGGTAAGAGAAGCACTACCAGATCCCTCTACAGCCCTGATCTCTGAACCCTATTTTTCTTACGTCTGTTGTCCTCTTTACCAGGTTTAATTCTTGCACATTTGTTGATGGTGCCATAAACACTAACCAGTTCTAAGACTTCACTAAGCCCAGCTGGGCAAAAGAAGTAACATTCTCACATCAGCTGACTCTTCTATGTGTAGATGGCATATTTTCTCACATATTTTAATGGCAAAGAGAAGGTAAAAAGGCATGGGTCAATTAAGACACTTTATTGAAGAAAATTATGGACTACCTCAAATGTATCAATGACAAATACATTGACTGGGTTCTGCTAAAGAAATCTATACACTGGGACTTCCCCAGTGGCACAGTGGTTAAGACTCTGTGCTCCCAATGCAGGGGGCCTGGGTTCTATCCCTGGTCAGGGAACTAGATCCCACATGCATGCCACAACTAAGAGTTCACAAGCCACAACAAAGGAGCCCACGTGCTGCAACTAAGGAGCAGGCGAGCTACAACTAAGGAGCCCTCAAGTCACAATTATGGAGCCCACCTGGCGCAACTAAGACCCAGCACAACCAAATAAATAAATAAATATATATATATTTTAATCTATACACTGTCTTAAATAAGGATATAGACTCATGGAATGAAGTACAGTTGACCCTTGAACAAGATAGGGGGTTAGGGGTGCTGGCACTGGCACAGTCAAAAATCCACGTATAGGGGCTTCCCCGGTGGCGCAGTGGTTGAGAGTCCACCTGCTCATGCAGGGGACATGGGTTCATGCCCCGGTCCAGGAAGATCCACATGCCGTGGAGCGGCTGGGCCCGTGAGCCATGGCCGCTGAGCCTGTGCATCCGGAGCCTGTGCTCCGCAATGGGAGAGGCCACAACAGTGAGAGGCCTGTGTACTGCAAAAAAAAAAAAAAAGACACATGCACCCCAGTGTTCATTGCAGCACTATTTACAATAGCCAGGTCATGGAAGCAACTGAAATGCCCATCAACAGATGAATGCATAAAGAGGATGTGGTACATATATACGATGGAATATTACTCAGCCATAAAAAGGAGTGAAACTGGGTCACTGGTAGAGACGTGGATGGACTTAGAGACTGTCATACAAAGTGAAATAAGTCAGAAAGAAAAACAAATATCGTATATTAACACATATATGTGGAATCTAGAAAAATGGTACAGATGAACCAGTTTGCAAGGCAGAAATAGAGACCCATATGTAGAGAACAAACATATGGACACCAAGAGAGGAAAGTGGGGGGTGGGGGTGGAGGTGGGATGAATTGGGAGATTGGGATTGACATGTATATACCAATATGTATAAAATGGATGACTAATAAGAACCTGCTGTATAAAAAAATAAAATTAAAAAAAAAACCCAGAGGAACAGGCACAAAAGAATAGACAAAATGGATGTTATGAAAATTTAAAATTTTCTGCATCAAAAAACACTATTAGGGGCTTCCCTGGTGGCGCAGTGGTTGAGAGTCCGCCTGCCGATGCAGGGGACACGGGTTCGTGCCCCGGCCCGGGAAGGTCCCACATGCTGCAGAGCGGCTGGGCCCGTGAGTCATGGCTGCTGAGCCTGCGCGTCCGGAGCCTGTGCTCCGCAATGGGAGAGGCCACAACAGTGAGAGGCCCTCATACCGCAAAACAAACAAACAAACAAACAAACAAAAAACACTATTAACAGTGTAACAAAGGCAACCCACAAAATTGGAGAAAATATTTGCAAATCATATATCTGATAAGGGATTAATATGCAGAATATGTAGAGAACTCCTAAAACACAACAAAAAACCCCCCAAACAACCCAATTCAAAAAATGGGCCAAGGACTCAAACAGACATTTCTCCAAAGAAGATACATGAATGGCCTAGAGCACATGAAAAATGCTCAATGTCACTAATCATTAGGGGAATGCAAATCAAAACTACAATGAGATACTACCTCAAACCCATTAGGATGGCCACTATTAAAAACAACAACAACAACAAAACAGAAAAGAACAAGTATTGGAGAGAATGTGGAGAAAACTGGAACCCCTGTGCACTATTGGTGGGAATGTAAAATAGTACAGCTGCTGTGGAATATGGTATGGTGGTTCCTCAGAAACTTAAAAATAGAATGACTATATGATCCAGTAATTCTACTTCTGGGTATAAACCCAAAAGAGTTGAAAGCAGGATCCTGAAGAGATATTTGTATGTCCATGTTCAAAGTAGCATTATTTACAATAGCTAATACATGCAAGCAACCTGAGTGCCCACTGATGGATGAATAGATAAGCAAAATGTGGGCTATACATACAATGGAATATTATTCACCCTTAAAAAGGAAGGAAATTCTGCAATATGCCACAACACGAATGAACCTTGAGGACATTATGCTAAGTGAAATAAGCCATTCACAAAAAGACAAATTCTGTATGCTTCTACTTATATGAAGTATTCAGAGTAGTCAAAGTCATAGACAGAAAGTAGAATGGCAGTTGCTAGGGACTGGGGGAAAGGAGGCAATGGGGAATTACTGCTTACTGGGTAGAGTTTCAGTTTTATAAGATGAAACGAGTTATGGAGTTGAATAGTGGTAATGGTTGCCCAACATTATGAGTATATTTAATACCACTGAACTATACAGGTAAAAATGGTTAAGATGGTAAATTTCATGCTATGTATGCTTTACTAAAAAAATGAAAAAAAAAAGAATGGAAAAAAATATACCACAAGTAACCAAAAGGAAGCTGGAGTAGCTATACCTGACAACAGATAAAACAGACTTTAAAACAGAAGATGTTAATAGAGAAAGAGAGGAACTTTTTATAATGATAAGATCAATTCAAGGGCTTCCCTGGTGGTGCAGTGGTTAAGACTCTGCACTCCCAATGCAGGGGGCCCAGGTTCAATCCCTGGTCAGGGAACTAGATCCCACAGGCACGCCAAAACTAAGGAGCGCAAGTGCCATAACTAAAGGAGCCCCCCTGCTGCAACTAAGACCTGGTGCAACCAAATAAATAAATAATTATTGAAAAGAAAAACAAAAATAATAGTTGGCGATTTCAAAACCTCCACTCTCAATAACAGATAAACTAGACAGAAAATCAGCAAGAATGTAGAAAACAACACTATCAATGAACCTGACCTGACATCTATAAAACACTCCATTCAACA